CTGTAGGGTAGCGGCACTTGCCTGCAGCTTCGCTGTGGGACAAGACAAGTTTTGAGAAGAGAGAGCTGATTGAGAGAACGAAAGGGATGGGAGGAAGAAAGAGCTAAGAGAAACAGTTGAGTGAGAGTAGAGAAGAAGAGTTAAGAGAAATTGACGAGTTTTCAGAGAAAGAGTTCAGTGGTGAGAGAAAGATTGGAGAGAAAGAGTTCTGTGTTGAGAAAAAGAGTTCATTGGTGAGGAAAAGAGCTCAGTGGTGAGAGAGAGAGCTAAGTAATGAGCGAAAGAGTTCAGTCAAGAGAGAATCAGTCGTGAGAGAAAGAGTTGAGTGGTGAGAGCAAGAGTGGCGAGACAGAGCGTGAGATGAGCCACACACCGCTGCCTGGGCCACTGTACAACAAGACTGTCTCATTACCACTCTTGACAATACTTTACACACACTTATAGGACCACGGGGAAGAGGGTGGAGGGAGAGGGAAAGGGAGAGGGAGGAGAGGAGAGGCCTAAGAGGAGACGGAGAATAGAGAAGAGAAGAGGGAAGGAGGAAGATAGAGAGGAGAGGATTAAGACAACGGACAACCGCCACAGAAAAGACGAGCAGAGAGAGAACAAATGCATGAAGAGAATAGATAAGAGGAGACGTAAGCGGAGCATGGATGAGAGGGAGAGTTAAGGAGGGATTAAAGACAATGAGAGGGAGAGTGTTGAGAGAGAGAGAGCCTTCCTCCAAGGAAAGGATGAAGTGGGGATGCAGAAGCTAGTGGGGAGAAAATCAGAGGATATGAAGATAAAATGGAGAGAGAATGAAGAGGGAAGGAATGTAAGTAGATGGTGAAGTACAGGGAGAGAGAGAGAGGAAGGTGGAGGGAGGAGGAAGAGGGGAAGGTAGAGGGAGGAGAGGGAAAGGTAGAGGAAGGGAGACGGAGAGGGGAAGGTAGAGGGGGGAAGATAGAGGAAGAAGATGGAAAGGTAGAGACAGAAAAGAGATAATTTTTCGGTGCCAATACGTCTTTGATCTTATGAGTCCTAACACATTATTTGGGGGAGGGAGGGAGGGAGGGAGGGAGAGAGAGGGGGAGAGAGGGGGAGAGAGAGGGGGGAGGGGGGAGAGAGAGAGAGAGAGAGAGAGAGAGAGAGAGAGAGAGAGAGAGAGAGAGAGAGAGAGAGAGAGAGAGAGAGAGAGAGAGAGAGAGTTACATCATGAGTAATGACAAAAATATATAAACTGACAAAGAGAAGAGAAGAGAAATGAAGTACATCAGGAGGAGGAACCTAAGAAGAGAAATAGGGGAAGAGAACACGAATATGGGGAGAATTGAATTTCATATTTTAAATTGGGAGTGACGAGGGCGAGGAGTGATTGGGCAAGATGGTGAGGGAAGGTAACTAGAGGGAAGGAGGAGGAGGGATGGTCGACCTTAAGAGGTGCAGAGAATCTTAGATGGTTGTAGTTCCCCCTTGTTATTACGTTCTTGTTAGTGAGAGTATAAAGCAGTTTCTATCAGTCCTTTCTGTGTTCCGGTCCGTTTGTGCATTTACTGTGTCTACAGTATTGTGTTGTTAGCTCTTGGACCCCGCCTTTCTAAACGTTAGTTTTCTAATGTATTTGCTGTCAATCTCAATTTTATCTTCCATAGAATCGTCACGAATTTCAGCTTCTCAAATACATAGTATAGCCCAGGAAAATTCACACAAACACATACACATGCACACACACACCTACCTCTTGCCCATTCTTTCATATGCCTATGGTGTTACCTGGTGTGTGTGTGTGTGTGTGTACCATTGTAGAGAGTGTGCAGCCTACTCCAGGCATGTTACTGTGTACGATAAGTATACACAGTTGACTCTCTCCCAGATGGTACCATGTGTCGTCTTGCCTCTCATCCCCAGCACCCAACTTCCTACCCTGCATACGCTACCCCAGCAGACTTGTCAATCCTTCAAGGAGGAGTTTGTGGACGTCCTCTTGTCTTTCCCCTCGACCACTCACCGTACTTACCCGTCTCATCAGCTTACCTCCATCTGTGTAAACTTACATCCTCTCTGGTTAACATGTATCAAGACAAGGATGCTACCAAGTACAGAGTGGTGTAGGGTTTTTCTCTAGTTACTTCCCCTCGGCTCGTAAAGTGCTTCCTGTACTCTGACCCTTTGCTTTTCGGTACAGAGGTATTCATTTATTAATTACAGAACCTTCTCTATCACTCCTGTGTGTCATCCCAGTCGTGTCATCCCAATGTGTCACCCTGGTGTATCAACTCAATGTTTTTTTCAACTTCGTGAGGCATTTTTCCAAATTACTGAGCCCGTGCTGGTGTGTGGGGAGAGTTAATGTAAACACACACACCTACAAAGCCCTAAATCCACACCACCACAACACAGCCGACCTCACAATACACACCACACACACACACACCTGAGGAAGGATGGAAGGAGAGAGAGACGAGAGAGAGAGAGAGAGAGAGAGACCGAGAGAGAGAGAGAGAGCGAGAGAGAGAGAGAGAGAGAGAGAGACGAGAAGATAGACGAGAGAGAGAGAGCAGAGAGAGAGAGAGAGAGAGAGACGAGAGAGAGAGAGAGAGATAGAGAGAGACAGAGATGAGAGAGATGAGAGAGACAGACAGAGAGAGAGACCAGAGAGAGAGAGCAGAGGGAGACAGAGACGAGAGACAGAGAGAGACAGGAGAGAGACGAGAGAACAGAGAGACGAGACAGAGAGCGAGGACAGAGCGACAGAGAGACGGAGAGAGACAGAGAGACAGAGAGACAGACAGAGAGAAGAGAGAGAGAGAGAGAGAGAGGAGAGAGAGAGAGAGAGTAGAGAGATAGAGAGAGAGATAGAGAGAGAGAGGAGAGAGAGAGAGCTGACAGACAGACAGCAGACAGACAGACAGAGACGGCGTGTGGGGAAGAATTTCATGAATATTTGAGAAATTCAAACGTTTAATTCCCAGGAACGGACGGGAGGAGACTCCGTTGTTCTCTGTTTTTCCTTTTTTTCACTGCCGACACTTTCATCGTCGAGCACAACTTTATGGTCACTTTATATTATTATATTTTCCCCTCGATGCCATTATTGCTTGCTGCGCTGCTCTCGTTTTCTGTGGTGCAAATGTTTTTCATTACTTCTGTACAATTATTAAATGCGTTATTTAAATGTAATTCCTATATTAACGTTACTATGTCTGATATTTTAATATGCCTTTGTTCATGCCTAATACAGTAACTGTGTCAGTTTGATCATATTATCGTGATACTAAATATAATTTGACCATGATACCTGACATAAAATTTAATGCACGATTTAAACCAATTTGTATTGGCTCTGATGTCTCCTACGATTTTGCTGTCATACTGTGTGATAATGCCTTTCTTCTCTGATGCCATTACCAATCTCCCTTCGATCACAGATACCTTCAAAGGGCTGGCAAGAGAGGGAGGGAGGGAGGGGTGGAGCGACTTTGATAAGTCCTCTTTCTTTTCGGATTACACCAATGCGCCCCTTGTCCTTCCCCTCCTCCCCACTCCCTCTTCTCCTCCTCCCCTGGGTAATGGCATTATCCTTCAACTGGCGAGTCATTAATGGATAGTTCGCTGCTAGACATTGTCCGACACTGGAACGTTTTCATATTGCAGTGGAATACAATATAATTATAATATTACATCAAGTGATTCATGCGTCAGGTTGCTAGCAGCTGCGTCCAACAGCCTGGTTGACGAGACTACCAACCAGCAGGCCTTGTTAGAGACCCGAGAGCGGGGAATTTGATCCTCGGAATCATGGCAAGGTAACCACAAGGTAAGGTAAGGTGTAGGAAAGTAAATTCTTACAGTAAACCAAGGCAATACAATACAACAAAAATAGCTGCTACAATGTATTCATATCGATATATACATTAAATATTGTTAAATTGCCTCAGAATTCATAATAATTTTAGAATCCCATCGTAAAACACGGCAACACCAGATTACAGTGTAACCTAAGAATATATACGATGGGCTCTCTTAGGTTATTACTTAAGGAAAATACTTCAAAGATTTCCTTCTATTATAATACATAATACAATATACACGGTCAGAATACATGTTACCATTCAAGTATTTTCCTGGCAGACAGTCAGTCTGCTGATATATTCAATAACCAATGCTTACATTCCTCTTTATTTATATATTTATTCACACATTAAGTGGCTTTATTAATTAAAAAATTAGCAGTTAAAGTAGCCAATAAATAACTCCAAGCATCGTTATTTAAGTCAGCATAATAAATAGGGTTAGTGTGAGGAACTTTTTTAATTAGTGTCCGAGGAGGAGAGAAAATGGCCTTAACTCAGGGGATACGACACTCTGCGCGCCCCAGACGACACTTTGTAAACATTAGGCAGCCAGCACCCAGCCTCTTTTATAAATACTACAATAAATTACAACCATGAACAACCATTAATAACAGTGATTTTTTTCAAGAAAGACAGGTGAAATGACCTTAATACATTCATGTAATTTGCAAACGGAACGTATAAAGTGAAACACATTGTTTCATAAAAAATATATATGTAAATGGATATAATTCCCCAATAAATAATACTCACGTTTATGCTACCTTCGATATTGTTTTAGCGATTTGGTCAATGATTTCAATTGTAATTGTGCATGTCGGGCGAACGTCCAGCCCAACATGAATGCCCTCACCGTGTGAACTGTAAATGTCTAGATATAAAAAGCTGGTAGAGACCTTCCTGACGGCCCGCACCTCCTCGTAAATACTAACACCAAAACAATAGTGTCAGGCTCTGGTTTTGTTAAGGGAACTTAGCGAGACAGGAAAGTCTGTTCCATGCAAAACATGATCGATCATTATCATTAAAATACCGCTGTTTTTCGCAATGAATCCTGAGGCAGGACACTTTGGTTCGTGCAACACTGACCATGGTATTTATTTATGTACTCTGCGGAAGAAATGAATATAAAATACGGGAGAATGATGAGATTGAGACACTCACTTATGGGTTTGTAGTATGGGACGCACCTCCTCTTCACCTGGGAGACGGCCTTGGTCCTGGCCGTGTTGATGTACACGAAGCAGTACTCGGTAGCTTCCTGCTGAAAGGTGGAGCAGGGAAAGGCTGCCGACGTCCTCGGCTTGATCACCCGCTGCTCCGACACGTACCTGCACGAACAAGCATAATGTAATAAAATATCAAATTCATAAATCTCGTTGGAGAGCACGTCGAATGTGTGAACTCGCCTAGATGTGCTCACAGGGGTCCAGTATCGGCTCCCTTGTCCCGCATTTCCAGCTCCAAGTCAGCAAATGTAATGACTCATTTGTCCTAGTATTTATTTTAGAATATGATTGTAGAATTCCCCCTCGACGATCTTTTCTTGTAGTCCATTCCACGTGCTGGCGACCCTTACGCCGCAAAAGGATTTTCCCAGACATATCTCCGGCTTAAGTGAGCCTGGCTTCCACCCGTGTCCTCTGGTTCTAACGTATCAGAGAAATAGGTACCTTACGGGGCATCACCCGCGTGGTTGGTGCTCTTAACTTACAAGAAAAAGCTCTGGTTTCAGTGACAAATATACTTGGCTGAACAACATCCGTGTGTATGGTGCTGTTAACTTCAAGATACAGCTCTTGTCCTAGTGACAAACGTGTGATTGGTGCTATTAACTTACAGAACGAGCCTCACTCACTAGTTAGCAGGGAAAATGATTTTTGGATGGTATAATATATGAAATTTATGACGCTGAACTATACTTCTTTTCATTGTCTAAACATTACAGCCTGATGACTAATGTAACGCTATCTAGTGTCAACTCATTTTGTTTATAACAAAGTATCAAAATTAGGATGTTTATACAGTAATAGCTACTAATGTCGGCTAAACCGTTAATCTGAGAAAATGTCAACAAACTCACTTGTCAACGGTGGGTGGATTGGCTGAGGTGACGTTGGCTCTGATGCGGGCGTAGACCCTCACCTTGTCGGCCACGCCCACGCAGGACGGGTAGGTCACGTGCACGCCCATGGAGCCCTCGCACGGGTAGATGTTGGCCGCCTGCACGTGCAAAGTGAACGTATCGCTCCACTCCACCTGCACCCACACAACAATACACTATACAAGGATGACTCACAGCACCTGACATGTTTACACAACTCATCCTATCACCTAATACGTCTCACAATTATCCACGTTTTCCATACATAGGTTGGTTAAGTTAGGTGGGTGAATTGGGTTCGTGCGTTTTAGCACCCTTATTTTATACGTTGTGAAAATTAAAAAAAAACAATAGTAATAATAACCCGACCCATCATCTAAACCGAAATTATAAAATATATAATATGGGCGTCGCATTTCTGCGAAGCCTTAGGGCATAGGAACTGGAGTGGAAATAAAGTTGCATTTTCTTTAGATGTGTCTGGGGCATTGAGACTGAAAAAGGGGAAAAATAGGTAGTATTTTTTAGGTATGCCTTTGATACACTTCGGGGAAGGAGTATGATTGTTGTGATATACTAGGAATAAGAACTAGAAAGGGGGTGGGGGGGGGTTGTATATTTAGATAAGCCTGGCGCTGGGACTGAGTATACCTCCTTGACAACTTTTAGTCATTATTCATATATTTATTATTACATCTTCACTGTCAGTATAATGCTGTCATTAATATTAACAGACAGTATCCCTCTGTAAGACAGTAACTAAACGTGTTCACAATTTGGCATTGTGTACATTTGGTTACAGTCAGTGTGTTAAGAGGAGAGTGGGATGGATAAGAGAGAAGAGAGGCAGCACTGACCGTGAACCATTTAGAGGCAGCGATCACAGGAGAGGTGTGGACGTCGGTGGCCAGCCTCACGCTGTACAGTCCCGCGGGGCCTATGGCTTCGCAGGGGAAGCGGAGCTCGTGGACAGGGAGGTTGTACAGGTCCCACAGCCGTACACGCCCCAGCACCACCGCCTCCCCGCCCCACGCCCACGACACCGCCCGTGCCCCCGTCGACACCACCGACCCCCTGGCGGGAATGTCCTCAACCACGGCTCGTCGCTGTCTCCGTATCCATTCCCAGTACCTCTCGTAAGCGTCCTTTCTTCCCCTTCTCTTCCTCTTCCTGGTTCTCCTGTGTTTCCTCCCCAGCCTACCATCTTTGCCCGGTTTCCTGCCTCCCATATTCTTCTGACTTCCCGGTACTCTGTGGCTCCTCTTACGCTTCAAGAAGGACCAGGGTTTATTGCCGTGTTGGCGCCACGAGGGCGTGGTGGTGGGCGTGGTGGTGGGCGGGGCTTCTGTGCTCGTCCCGCCCACAGGCACACCGTGGTACAGCAGGTCTACAAACGTCTTGAACATAATAGGGCTCTTGGGCATACACTTGGAGTGGGTGAACCTGTGCCAACACCAATAGTCAAGATGGTCAAGGACATAATATTGCTGACTAGTAAGTAAACGAGAAAATGAGAGAGAGAGAGAGAGAGAGAGAGAGAGAGAGAGAGAGAGAGAGAGAGAGAGAGAGAGAGAGAGAGAACAAACTATATAGGCTTCTTACCCAAACGTAGGATTCATTTCAGTCTGGAAATTCCTTCACATACATATACCGTTTATGAATAGGTGTATATACATACACATATATGTTTATTATATAACAAATAAATATATTCTTAGTACACAATTTTAAATGTAAATATGGCAAGGCAAATGACATGTCATTGCATTAAATTAATAATAATAATTCGGAAGATGGGGTTTAGGAACTAAGGCTCAACCCTGCAAGCATATCTAGTGGAGTACACACACACACACACACACACACACACACACACACACACACACACACACACACACACATACACACACACACACACACACACACACACACACACACACACACACACACACATAGGGGGCCTCGTAGCCTGGTGGATAGAGCGCAGGACTCGTAATTCTGTGGCGCGGGTTCGATTCCCGCACGAGGCAGAAACAAATGGGCAAAGTTTCTTTCACCCTGAATGCCCCTGTTACCTAGCAGTAAATAGGTACCTGGGAGTTAGTCAGCTGTCACGGGCTGCTTCCTGGTGTGTGTGTGTGTGTGTGTGTGTGTGTGTGTGTGTGTGTGTGTGTGTGTGTGTGTGTGTGTGTGTGTGTGTGTGTGGTGTGAAAAAAAAAGTAGTTAGTGTAGTTAGTAAATAGTTGATTGACAGTTGAGAGGCGGGCCGAAAGAGCAAAGCTCAACCCCCGCAAACACAACTAGGTGAATACACACACACCGCTTCCCTCTGGACCTCTACCTCTACATTCCAACCCCAGTTACCCTTGACCAGTACCCTCCCTCCCTTTCCACCTACCTGAGTTTGACCTCGACGGGGGACCTGTAGGTCTCGACCCTCTTTGGTACTTCGATGGTCATATTTGGCCACGACACCTCCACCTCCCCGCTCACCGCCAGCACTTCAGACCCCCGCTGCAACCTGTCCAAACACAAACATGTTTAACACCTGCTGACACTCGTAGCGTTAGGTAAAGCAGCACCAGGGATGATGATGTTAGTCAAATATGGCTTTAATGACTATGAGAAAGAGAAATAAAGAATGAGACGAGAGACAGAAACCAAAATATCTTGTCTCTGCTTTATATGTAGATATATGTGTATATATATATATATATATATATATATATATATATATATATATATATATATATATATATATATATATATATATATATAGCAAGTGTGAAACCCCAGGGAGGAGACCCCCAATAGGACAAGGTATGAGAGAGAGGCCTCGGGGGGCTTCCTCGAACCCAGGTAATACATTCCCTGTCATGAATCACGCGCCATAATCACAGCCTCTCCTCTAATACCTCGCCTCCCCGGGAGTAATCAATAAACTTCCCGGCAGCCACCAGTCGGTAAACATTTAATGAGGCTCCGGACCTCGGCAAGCACCGCAGGAGCCCGTCTGCCAAGGCTCGACGAGCCCAAAAGAAAAAAAATAATGCTCTACGTCCAAAGTTGATTTTTTTTACTTTTTTGTTTGCAAACTTATTTTTATATATGCTGTTATAATCGTACAACTTTCTAACCGTTAGCAGTACATGAAAGGAAGAGTTGTAAATGATTCACTAGTTTTAAGAAAGGGTTTTTCCTTGCCAAGCTACACAAAACTTGCCACATTTCAAACGATATACAAATGAAGGTCGTTTGACTAAAACGCTGAATAAAGTATTTAACTTTCGTCTTTACCAACTCCCGAAATATTGAATAATAATGATGACGACGGCCGACTTACCAGAAGAAGTGTATGCCGCCCTGCACGACAATGCCACATTCGAAAATATACGACAGCGTATCCACCTCTTCGTTCACCACGTAGGTCTTGATGGCCCGCACACTGCCGCTGGCGAAGAGCGATAGGGTGAGGGGTTCCCTGGCCGCCCCCAGTAGCCCACCCGATGCTATACGAGGGGCGTTGATGTCGCCAGGCAACCGCCAGGATCGTACGGCCTCGTCATCTGGGTCATTGTTCTGGCCGGGGACGTCTTCTTGACCTGGGTCGTCGGGTCTCCCTCCGCCGGGGTCGGTGACGGAGGTGTTCAGCAAGATGGCCGATTTGTTGTCGAAGTCCCAAGTGTAGAGAGGCGCATCCGTCCTGCCAGACACAGCACACAGGTGAGACACGCCTATACCATGGACCCAGGACCCGACCGGTCACTCATACCGGTAAATTATAGAATATGGATGGAGAGAGAGAGAGAGAGAGAGAGAGAGAGAGAGAGAGAGAGAGAGAGAGAGAGAGAGAGAGAGAGAGAGAGAGAGAGAGAGAGAGAGAGAGAGAGAGAGAGAGAGAGAGAGAGAGAGAGAGAGAGAGAGAGAGAGAGAGAGAGAGAGAGAGAGAGAGAGAGAGAGAGAGAGAGAGAGAGAGAGAGAGAGAGAGAGAGAGAGAGATGGGAGATTAAAGAACAAGTTTGGTAGTGAAGGAAAAAGACACGAAAGGAAGTACAAGATTAACGGTAAAAAAATATTTCCCACACCTACAAAACAATGAAGATTTTCAGTACTCTTAAAACTTTAACAAATATGAGCTCAGGAAAATATTAAATAAAACTTTGTAATGTGTATGTTGTTGGAGCGAGGCTGCGGGCTGTGAAGCTGAGCTCAGCAAACACTGTCGTAGCCTAACACTGAGCCGCTACACGCACAGCTAACATCAGCGTCGCTCCGCACACCACACTCACCCAATTGAATGTGCCGAGTCATAATTATGCAAAAACACGAATGTGGTCTTATATAACATTTCGAAATAACAGTGATAACAAAAATTTATGTTTCTACTTTTGACTTATCAATAACACATAAATAAACCAAATTGGAAAAAGTCATGTAATTTACAGTGTGAAAAGCGCAAAGCAGATGTGAGTTACTTCCTTCACATCAGAAGCGAGCTTCAGCGATCGTTACCAATAGACGCAAATTATCAACCTTCAACTTAAATTGACCTTTTTTTCTGTCAAATTATTATAATACACTTCCCATGTTCCGTCTTATAATTGCACAAATCACGAGAGGAAATAACTCCTCGCTCACCGTCACAGCAAACATCGATTCCCAACACCGCCTAGGCTGTTTACCCTCACCTGTCATTATCTTGGCCCCGTGTGACGGCTGCCACGAAATGGTGACGAAGTGCGTGTTTACACACGTCTACAATTATCTTGCCTCTACGCTTGCGGAAGATGTGGTGGGTACGGACACGGGAACACACACACATGCGTATTATTTACAATTGTTTACAATTAATTTGCCACCTGCAGTGAGATCAGTGGGAACCGTATGAGGGTATGTTTACACGTGTCCAAATGATCATCTTCCTACAGAATCCGCGGTTCCCGCCAGGGGGCTGGACTTGTTTAAACTGGGGCACATTAAACATTGAGAGATTTAACCCGTAAAAACAAGACCCGAAGGTTATAAAGATGTACGTATATATACACATTCTCGCCTTTGATTTTGGTTTGCTTGGAGGTGTGTGTGTAGGAAGACTAACGGGCGTGAGTAATGTGACTTTGAGAAAGCGCTACACATGTGACTATGTGGGAGGTACTTAGGGTTGGGGCGTGAGAGGTCCTTTGGGTGAAAGCGTGGGGGCGTACCCACGGTGTGGGCGTGAGAGGAACCCCACAGTAGGGGCGTGGGGGTGTGGACTGTTGCACGTGCCGTACAGAGGGTAGGCACTTGGGAAGTACTGAGGGTCGGGTCGTATGAGGTTTTGACTGTGGGAGTGTTAGGTTATGAGGGTGTGTGGGAGGTACTCACGGTGGGGGCGTGGGAGTCAGATAGACCACAGCAGTAAGGTGACCCTGGAGCGCGGTGTAGTGGGCGGGCGCCTCCACACTCAGCCCAGACACTCCTGCAAGGAAGGAGAGAGCAGGTAAGAGCTATAGTTAGGGAGCGACTACCAACACTCGCTACCCTGCTGGTGATGATGATTGATGGGCTACAATGATGATGATTATGACATAATAATGAATAGGTTTTGGACATCATTGCACATTATTACCTACACTAAAATATATATAATCTAGCGACCGGTTGGTCTTGTAATACAGTCTTTATGCAGGATAACCCAACCCAACATTAGGTTAGGCTAACAGAATAAAAACATGGCTTTTTTTTAACAATATGTCAACAACTGTCCGGTTTTTGTCTGTCAAAAAAATTTCTGTTCTGAATTGTAGATAAGTTCTTGCTAACAACCTCGTGTTAACTAACTTACATCATTGTGTAAGTTGCAGATTTCCGGTACTTCATATCTCTCAATAATAATATCTTGTATCATTAATGTCCAGGCGGGTCATACCAAGTTTAATATACAAATATATTGGTTGAATATTAACAATTTAAACCCTTTTAGGTCGCAAATAATAATTGATTAAGTATAAATAAATAAATAATAAGGAAATTCATATAATAGGCTACATAGATGGTTTTTGATAATATACAAGTATATATGACAACACCACACGTATCAAGATGAAAAATAAATAAATGCGCTACTACGGTATAATCACTGCACCTATGTCTTAACACTTGAAGAATTAACATTTAAAAGTTACTGAAAAGGAAATGTTGTACTGGAAACACAATAGCCTAGCTTCACCGGATTGTCTGAAGGATTGGCGACACGTTCATGTCCTCTTAAACATGTATTTACACATTGTAAAGAGGTCAATATAGTATGATATAAAGTACACAGACAAGTACTACTGGCTCAATAGTATCACTTATATTCGAATTTCATAAATTCTGTCCAAGGAATTTTAAATGTGATATTCCACAACTCGACAAACGCATTTAGTAACCTTAACAGAAGAGTGGATATTTTGAACATTATAAAAGAACATGGTAATATAAAGACCAATATTAACCTTAGCGGCTTAAATTTTCCCAAAAACTTAAATACTATATTGCAAGACTTCACGTTTTTTGCACTGGTTAAAAAATCGTAATTCCTGGACTATTATACATATGTTTGAGAAACCACAGCAGCAAGGGCGCGTACGCTTGCCAGAACACTATCAATCAGGTAGAATTGTAACTATCTCTCAGGCATGAAGTCTGTCCCAAATCTCCAGTGAAGCTGTGTATGTGGTCAGCTTGGACCGTCACTTCTCAGAGTAGTGGAGAACTCCTGGGCGTCAGGAAGTTGACCAAACGTCACCAGAAGCCTCTCTTACAAGACTACCTTCATATTACTTCCACTGGCCAACTTGTGGAGCTTCAGGCAGCTTACGGTAATCCCTAATACTTTAATGCTCTTCCTTCCCAGACAAAGAGGCTATATAATTTTGATATTTTCACACCAATTATTGACAAACACCCAGCAAGCTTATGAAGTTCTCTCCTATAAGTACTGTATATCATACCAGAGCTGCAAAAATAATAGTATATATATACCTAATAAGAAAGAAAAGGACAAAATATGGACTGTCGCACGCACAGAAAAAGCAAGCATATATTAGCGAAGGCAGTCCAAGCTAGGCTCCTCGCCCATTTCCAGTTGGCCAGATTGAGTTTTTCTTCTCGTCTTGTCTCTTAATGTTATCTTAGGTGATTAGTAGGTCTTCTTTACATTTCATGTTATCGGAAGATCTTTTAAAATGTTTTAATAGGGTGATTGTTGACATGTAAATTTGAAAGTGATTTTATATCAACAAAAAAGATCATTATACGCTTGTATGTAAACTGGAAGCAACTAATACAAGAGAATGTTTCTGTTCGAAGTTGGTGACCTTTGCAAGATGACTGGTGGTTGGAGATAAAGTGAAAGGTGAGAGAACGAGAACAATAAACAAGAATCACAACTCCATCGACGGCTGCCTGTAGGAGGGATATGATCACTTAAATGTTCATAGTGTGTGTGTGTGTGTGTGTTTGTTTTATCCTTGCCAGCGGCTGACGGTCACGTTCACAAACAATCCACAATGGGAGTGGATGGTACTGATAAAGGAGGAAAGGAGTAAGAGAGAAAAATGTGAGAGAGTCAACAAATAACGGAGCATTAGAAGTAAAGTTAGGCAGCTATAATAAGGTAGGTTACCAAGGAACTGGTGCATCACTACGCTCTTCCCTCCCTATACCATCCTGTTCCTTGTCCCTCTCCTGCTTCACAGTCACTTCTCTCACCCACGGCACCATTCAGTTACGGTCCATTCACCTGGGCTGTATGAGTCTCGAACCCTGGATCTCCATACGTGTCAGGTCGAAGCCCTATTCACCTACACCCCAGGTGAATGGAATGTTTATTTCCAGGTAAATGTGGATGACAATTTACATTCAATTACGGATTACTTCATCATCCGGGTCCCTCCCACGGGACACAACCCATTCCCAGAGGTCCTGAGAGCTAGTGGGTGGATCTCATGAAGTCTCTCGTCTGGTCAATGGGTAGGGGACAAGATGGGTCCTGAGGGAAGAATGTACTGTGTCCAGGTATTGTTCCCTTCTATTTAACATCTTTCTGGAGTTCAGTGTTATGCATCCTGGATGGGTAGAAAACCTTATTGGGACATTGTGTTCTAGGGACCAAATACTAAAGGGTCTTGTTCCAAGCGTCGATTATACATATATGAATGATTCTAGGTGTGTATACATAGGATCTGCCTCGTATGGGCCAATATGACTACTGCAGTTCCCTTTATTCTTAAATATGAGGTAAACCCCAGCTCTAAGTCTACATTAATATCAATGACAGCCAACATCCGGGGCATTACTGTCCTCCTCAGTCAAGGTGAGTGACTCGATCTGCTCTTCACTAATACGAGTGTTGTATTCCATGTGTGGAGGTGTAGATTATTCATCCCGATCAATGGTGGCCAGTTGACTCATGCAAGCAATGCATTCTACCCTAAAAACTCCTCCCTT